GCAGGTCTCTAATTGGCTTGACTTAAAGCCAAAAATCATTTTTTACAGTGCGCAACAGAATTTGACAGTATATATATCGTCGCCTTTGATCAGTGAATAAGATGAAGTTACTAATAGAAAAACTATTTACTCATGAAGTATAATATAGAATAAAGAAAAAAGGAATAGAGGTAAAGAAATTACAGTTAAATCATTGCACCAGTAATGCAGATTTGGCTTTTGTTGGTCATCCTCGTTTTCTTTTGCTGTTGATTGGGACTGATTTTGCTGGTTGTGGGTGTGGATGTTTTATTTCAACCGCACTTACACTCACACCCTATTATTTCATCATATACATAATATATTAAAATTTCGTATCATTTTATCACCATATATTAACATCAGGGATATTCCTATTATTTCAAGATAATTTAATGTCTTGAAAAATCATATTATTTGAGCATATGTAAACAATATCACAATCCCTTGACAAAGAAGCAAACATATTCCAAAAGCCATGCGTCATTGAAATATATTTCTGTGAACTTTATTTAGTTTTTCTTTTCCTTTTCCTTTTCTCTTCACATACGTATTTATAATATTTCTTTCAATCATTTTTACATTAATAAAAAATAACAAAAAATATTTCTTTTTAAACGTTATTCGTGTTGACTTGATTTATTAGAAAAATTCATAATCTTCAAATACATCCTTAGATGATATCTGCATTTGTGGATAATTTCATAGTTACGATTGAAGTATTTTCTATAGGAAAAACAATAACTCTGATAACCAAAATCTTGAGGGCGTGGGTCACTCTCAAGAAAGCATAAAATATTCCTGTTTCTGATATGATAAATGCATTTGAAATAAATGCACTTGGCCCATTTTGTTATTCGAGTTCAAAATGTACATTGAGTATGATCACTAGTGTTTCTACAAAGGAGTTAGTAAATGAAGGATTTACTATGGTTGCAGTACAACTAGGTACAGTGACGACTGATATGCGTCTCGATTTGAACTTACCCGGTGCAATGTCAGATATACAATCGATAGAAACTGTTGATGGTATTTTGAGTAATATCGTATTTGCAAAAGAAAATTTGAATGAAAAATTTATTGCATGGAATGGAGATGTCATGCCATGACAATTGAGCAAGGAACGACATTTCAAGAAATATAACTATGTTAAAGATCATTTTTTACCTTAGTGAGTATATTCTTTCTTCTTAGTTAATTGGGTAGTAGGCGCTAGATCTAAAGATTTTGACTTCGAGGATGATAAATTACTGAAAAATTTGTCGTTTTATGTACATCGACTCTATATAATCAACAAATGAATAAATTGAGCCTCTATCTTAATTATTTGTTTCAAAGTGAACAGACAAAAATCATCTATGACTGTTTACTGTATTTATATTTACTTATTGAATTTACAAGAAAAACATTCATTCAGATCGGAAGGTTGTATATTTTGAAATAATAAAGAAAAGTGAATTTATTCGAATGTCAAGGGAAATGATGCTTGATCATTTTCGAACGTGCCACTCTTTTTTATGACTAGAAAATTTCCTTGATTTTTGTTTGTATTTGATGAATAAACTCCGATATGATCCACTAGATCTGGTGTAGCATGACATTGTGGAAAAGATGAACGATATTCTTCAAAAAATTGATTTAGTTGAATATCAATTGGTATTGTTTGATTTGAATTGATCTGTTTCAATAGAAATAACTTCAATGGTTTAACGACATTTGATGAATAGATTTGCGCAAGAGCTCCAGCTGTCGATGATTGCATAATATATATTTCATGTTTGAAAGGATAAATAAATTGCAAATTTTGATGATTGACTGATAATAATATAATCAGAATGAATACAAACCATAGGAAAGAAAATAATAAAAAGGTAACAAAATTTTTTGTATTTAAACGAATAAATCGTAAAGATATTTTATAATCAGTTAAAAGAAAGATTAAATTGATTAATATGGAAATAAATAAGGAGAAAAGAATTAAAAATGGTCCATCTTTTCTTTCCCATCCATCCCAATAATCTGTTTGAAATAACTTAATTAAACTACAATGTTGATCACTATTAGAGATTGTCGTTCGTAAATTACGAATCGTAATTTTTTAAAGAAATTCTTCGTAAATATAAGATCATCTTGAAGAATTAGTATATTACTCGAATTTTGTTTTTCACATATTGATAAAGCAATTAGATAATCGAGAGCTTCATTGAATGCCCATTGATCAGATTGAGAATTGAATTTCACATTTCGATGAACAAAGTCGAAATGAATTGAAGAAGAATTGATAATTTCAAAAAAAGTTAGTTTTGCCTGAGATAACTGTTCAGCATATTTATGAAGGGACGGTGGCATTGCTGAATTATAGATAAAAATCTTTGTTTTTAATTTATCTTCGTGTGTCATTGATGAAACAAGTGAAGAAAGAGTATAATGTAATGTTGGATGTTGATTACGAGGTGATGTTATTAAAATTGGACAAATATCTGACGTAAAATTATAATTCGAATTCAATTCTTGTCTTCTTATTAGTTGATTCCAATAGATTTCTGCATATCGAAATTGTTGATTCATTTCTATGTGTAAATCTGCTTCATTTGTATTATATCGATAATACCATGTGTAACGATAGTTAATTAAATAACTATACGCAAATACCATCCAAAATGTCATCGCTAAAAATAATCGAATGCAGTTTTTTTTCGTTGGATTTAATAATAAAACCATATGAGCAATATATCAGTCAGTTCTAAATGTACGTATACGAAATGCTATACAAAAGAAGAAAGAGATGATTTCTTGATGTAACATTTACATTCGTATGTTTTTTAACGGTAAAAATACGTTGTGTGAAAGTGGCGCCTAATTTTCGTGTGACATCATGTAGATGAAGCAAATCTTATAAATAAAAGTGGAAAAGAAATTTTCTCAGTTTAGTTTTGCGTTTAAAAGAAAGAAAACTCGTGATCAGCTACTAGAGTGAGGTTTTATTACATAGTATTAAAAAAGAAAATTTATGCATTTGCCATACATCATGTCAGTTTCCTTACCATGACTTTTTGCGTTCTTTCCTTCTTTATCTATGTTAACCTTGAAACTTTCAATTATATATGTACGTGTCTTTCTCTTATAAAGTGATTTAATAAAAGAAAGCAGTAAAGATAAATGAAAAAAATAAAACAGTAAATGACTCCTATAAAATGCATAGAATTTTCTCAAAATTCAAAGGCTTTTATTTTATTCAAACTTTCAATGATAATCTTCACCATTATCAAGAAGAAATTTGAAAAAATGACAGTAAAACAACATTAGAGCAAAAATCATAGTATTAGATGAGGTACGATCGATCGAATATGTACATGTTGAAGTAAGAAACAATCGAATACATAATAAACTACACCTTCACTTGAAGCAAGTGCAAGTAGGAGAAAGGCGGCTGACTGCAGAAGTGTAACAACCCTCAAAAACGCGAAAAGTTGAACCATTTAAAATTTTGTTTTATTTTGTTCTCAAAATCGATTAATTGAAGTCAGATAAACAAGCCATCGAATAATTACTTTTCATAGATTAGACTCTATCATGATGGATTTAAGTCACAAAAAAAACGATAATTAAAATATATATGCATGTAGTATCTGATATATCAATAGTCGCATGATACTGAGTCACAGATAACCATATGAGGAAATCATCGTACATTAATTAGTTTTTTTTAAACTATGTATCTCCCACACAGAATCGAATTTCAAAAAACGGTTTTCAGATGTGCACTCAGCACGTTCTCACGAATATGGCAAGCTTTTTTCCGATTGAAAATATTGCTTAGATGCTATGAATGAGGTGTTGATTTGAATCGTGACTCATCTATTGAGAAGAAGCAGAAGAATATCAAAAGCAATAAGTCGACTGCTGCACTTCGTGCAGTCAGTCGCCTTAAGAATAATTTATACATATTCAGTATCTTTTTGTTTATATTAAGTGTCTAAGGATGTGGTAGCAAACAAAAGAAGTTGACACTCATAAATACTCATATCCACACCATCAAGATGGCAGCTCCTAATAGTGGGAAGTCCTTAGAAAACAATAATTCCTGTAAAGAACCGTTAGGGTGTGGGTGTGTAGTTGTGGATGTAAACAGGTGTGTGAGTTCTTCTCATTCATCACTTACACCCGCACACACCCATATTCACACCCTTACTTTGAAATAAAATAATTCTTTTTGAAATATATAAAATCATATATTTATTAGAGAAAAACGTGAAAAAAGACAGAACATAGAAGATAACAAACCTATAAACTATACTAATTTTTTGATTAAATATACGTCTTTTCCCATTCTTAGGATATTAATAGATGAAGACAGTCGCGAGCTTTGATATATTCGTTTATTTGCTTATGTTCGATTCCAAGTGTTTTGCTTCCAATTGCGATGGCTTTTTCGAAATGGTTTATCGCTTCGTGCATGTTTCCTTGTAAAGCTAATGCAGATCCGATCCAGTGATGTGTATCAGCGATCTGGGGGTGATATTCGGGTAGGGAACTCTGTTGTATTTCGAGACTTTTTTTAAGGAATATGAGTGCATCGGAATAATAATCGAGTTTGTAAGAAATAACGCCAAGACGTAAATAAGAAACGGCTATTTCCGGATGTGTTTCTGGTAAACATTTCAAACGCAATTCAAGGGCTTGTTTATAATAAATACAAGCATTAATAAAATCTTCTTTCATTTCATAAATTCTACCAATAGAGCCGTAGGCACTAGCAAGAGATGGCGAATCGCGTTCGATTTTAACATACTCTAGATAATATTCCAAAGCTTTTCTCATATAACCTTTCGTAGAATAAATATAAGCTAAATTACGGTATGTTTGAATAAGTTTTGGATCGTTAGAACTTAATGTGCGTCGTTCAAGCTCCAGTCCTTCGATACACATTTTATTAGAATTGTCGCGATCGCCAGCCATCCAACTGACCATACTGCAGTTGAAAAGTGACGCCGCTGGACCTTCGGTCAAAGGTTTCATATAAAATGAAGCAATCTGTTCGGCTTGCTGATATTCACCCATTCTATACAGTAGATGTATAAGCTTTTGGTAAGGCGGAATGTTCAACATTTCGAGACGAAATTGTTCAGTTACTTGCGTCAAGTATATATCGTTATCATCGGTCAAATGCAGACGAATAATAAACATACCGACATCGTTATTTAATTTTTCGATCGTTTCAATACGAAATACACTACCCATTGAAAAAAGAACTTCTTCCTCACCACTACCAAAATTACTTAAATTTTCTATATTAGCAAAAGTAGTTTTGGATGAACCATACGACACAATGATCTCGAAAACAACAGCTATTAAATTCTCTTCTGCATTTGAAGAACCTGCATAGAACATTGCCAAATCTCGATTGTAAGTTGTCGATAGAAATTGATTAAAAGATAGTAAACAGCCTTGATTTTGCATTAATATATTAAATTGAGATGCTGGCATGTGAACACCTCGAAAGAGCTTTGGCCATTCTACATTGCTAGACATTTTGTGAAGTGATAGTAATTCCATATGAAGATCTTTAATATAGCGACGCAAATGTATAAGATTTTTGATATCGAGAGTACGAAGTGAATCGTTAAGTATTTTGTATAAAAATCCATCTCGAGTGTACCAATGAATAGGTGATTGCTTGAAATAGAGATCTTTTAATTCATTAATAAACTTCAAATAGATTTTATCATCATAATATTTTTCCCGGCAAAAATCAATCATAATTTCAAGAGGCGTATCCATCTCACAAAAAATATCTCGTAACAATTGTGAATACATAAATGCAGCTTCTTGCATATTGCTACTTTTAGCAGCTCCTGTTTTTTTCATAATATTGAAAGTAATTTGATCATCATCATTGCAGTTAAGTGCAGTACTTTGCATTTGCTTACAAACAGTATCGAGACTAACGTCGATTTTTCTGTCGAAGCGAAATAGTTTGTTCGACGGTTTATTATTCATAACGTAAATAAGAAGCATCGATTGAATACAATGGATTTCGGAGAAAACGGACACTACCGGCGCGTCGACAATTGATGATGTATCGGCTGTAATAGTGAGAACAATGTGTTCATCGACCAAGTCTGTTACGAAATCAACACAAGCATCAGCATCTGTAAATTGGTGATGTTGACTGATTGTTTTATTCATATGATTCCATAGCATCTCTCGATTAGTAAGAATAGAACATATGTCCAGCCACACATGAAAACAGGTACTATTGGCACTGTCTGACATATAACTGTATTTATCTAAAATAAAAACTAGTAATAATGCTGTTATCGCCTCTTCTCGTTCTTTATTCCTTTTCTTTCGTAAAACAAAAATCCTCTTTCTCTTCATAATATTCACTCCTTAAATACGCAACGATATCAGTAGTACGTGAAGAAATGAAAAAGCATCAGCATTCTTTATGGCAAGAGATAGCATGCCATAACACTTCCCTTTCCCACAAACAAACAGAGAAAAAAAATAGTATAACATACAATGAAAACATCAGAATTTGTGTTATTAAGATTTTTTCATGTTTTCTTGTTCTTTGTATCACAAATGCAGAACATATTCAACGATTGTCAATGATTGACGTTGTTTGAAAAACTCTGTTGATCTTAATCGTCACACTATTCGAGAGTACAACCGTATTACTCGATATTCTTTTTCATCAATTTAGTTGGATTTTTGTTTTGTTTCTGTACACATGTATGAGAAAAGAAAAAAGAATATGTTTCATCGTTTTTTATGCTGTTCTCTGCTTCTATTACGCAGAAGAATACTTTCATGCAAAAGTATGACCCGTGTGTAAGAAAATTGGAAAAGCGAGAATAGTTTTATTTGTTTTGATTATATATTAAATAGTCAATTAAAATCGTACTGACGAATACTATTAATGGCGACTAACGAAGAAGAAATGATGATGGTGAATATTAAGATTTTGCTTTTAATAAATTTATTCTAAATGAAAGTATCATATGGCTAGTGAATCAGAAATTACAGGGAAGATTTTTTTATCAATTCTATTGCAAATATCCGTAAATTAAAAAATTAGTTTTAACATTATTTGAATAAGAGAAGAAAAAATGTCTGAGATAACGAGAGAAAATTCTATTTAGTATTTTTGATTTACACCAGATTGATAATGACGAATAGTTATTGGACAGCAATGTCAATCATCATCATAAAAAATACTCTTTACATTCGTTTATCATTCAAAACTGATCTTCAAAAAAATATGAACATCAAGAATAATCATTACTCTCTTTACACTTGGACATTTGTTCAGATCTATTAACTAAAGAAATTAATTATTGGAATAACAAATAGATCTTGATCAGTTTCTAGACAATAATAGACTTTATTTTTTGGAAGTAGAACAATAACAATAATAATTAACAATCAAACCGAAAAAACAAGGACTAAACAAAGTTAGAGAACGAAAGAAAAACAAAAAATGAAATAGATTGATAAGTTCATAACCGATTGTTTGAACGATTTTTTTTCTTCTTTATGAAAAGAGCGTTTATCAATGGCATTTGTAACATTATTCGATGTTAAAATTAATTGCGGCTCATCAGTTGGATCGAATATCCGCTTCCCTTGAAATTTGTCAACTTCTTCATTCAAAACAACAGAAGATGTCAATAATTGTTTCGATATTTGAAGCGATGATAATTGTGTAATATCTAAACATTTTCAATAAAGAATAAATGACGTCAACGTTAGATTTTTTTCAATATATTACTTTGATATGTTTGAAGTTGAAAGAGACTCTGTAAATATTCATTACGAACAATACGATATTGTTTCATAGTGTTTGTCTTCATGATAATGTCGTCTACCTAAAAGCAAAAAACCAGTCTGATGTGTCATTCGACAAAAATATCGGTTGAACGTCTCTTTAGTATAGAAAGATGAATCAACATTTAGAAGTCGAAATCATAATCATTTTTTGTCTGATTAGACAGTTTTGAATGATTACTTTGACGAGAAAAACCACATTGAATCTCTTGAAAGGATGTTTTTTTTGCCAATATTAAGACTGTATCTACTGAAAGAGTCATTAAAATGACATGGAAACGAATTTTGAAGCACTCCAAATTTTGACTCTCTTGTTATGCAAAACTTATACAGATCTTTGTGAATGGCATTTAGAACCTCCATTTAATTTGACCTATCAAGTTGAGATATTGATAAGAAGTTTTCTCACTAGCACTATTTATTTCTGAAAAACTTCGAACGGAATCGATTATCCTAAGTAGTATAGTTATTGTAAAATAAAACTGGTTCAGTATACGTACGAGAAACTTTGGATCAGAAGGACCATAATGTTGAATACGAAATCCAAAAAGTAATAATTCAATCGCATCACCTGATTCTTCCATTAAAATCCCTAGTAGAATGAAACAAATCAGAGCACATATAATCTCGAACTCTTTCTTTAACTTACCAACAGGAGTACTTATTTCATCATTGAGATTACAACCATGTGTAAAGAAAGACCAATGACCCGTTTCATGCAATATAGTAAATAAAATCAAGGCAGCATATTTCACTTGTTCGTTGGCATTGTTTGTCAACTTTGGGCATACCAATATCTAAATGAAAACAACAAATTTACTATAATATCTAAGAAAAAATCTAGGGGGAAGCAGTGGACTTCAAGATTTTAAAGATTTCGAAAGACTTCAGAGGATCTTCAAGTTTTCCAAGACTTTCAAGACTTCATGAGACTTCATCAACTTCATAAACTTCAAAGACTTCATGCATGAAGTCTCTGTTGTTTACCCCTTGGAGAATATATACATTACCTCTTTATTGACATAAATAGTGACTTCGTCTTCTTCTCTTGCTCGACCATTGTAAAGCCCGTATATCTAACATTAATTGAGTGCGTAAAGTCGATCGTCGTCGAGAAAAATCATGCTTGGTAAGTTTTGATCCGTAAAAACTTCCTTGATTTTATCGAGTGTAGATGTTGGTATGTCTTTCTATAAAAAAAAAGAACAAGAAATTAAGAAAATAGATGAATTGTAATCTCATCTACTGTACCGGAAAATCATATTGATATACCTAGGTCGAACATTGCGACTATCGAATCCTGCAGAATTCTACAAGAACGCACAAAAAGTGGAGGGTGTGGGTGTGGGTGTGGGTGTGGGTGTGGGTGTAGGTATTTTATTTAAATCAAGCCAACACCCACACTCACCCAGACCCAGATCCACAACTTCACCCATACTCACACTCACACTCACAATTGTAGAAGTTGTTTTGTAACCAATATCTGGATTAGTTGTGATCATACTAACGGCAATTCCAGCACATATTGAACCTATACCGCATGCAACTAATTTGTCAATAGCAAGTTCTTTAGTTTGTGTAGCGCTAACTACTAAAACATCATATTTTCCATCAGTTTGTTTCCCATAAAAAACAATAATTTTCTGATATTATTTGTTTTGAGATTTTTCAAATAATAGAAATGTTTTGCTATCACCAAATAGCTTGCCATCGGTTAATACTTTTTGTAAATCAGGATCTTGTATGTAGCGTCGAAATACGAGACGATTGGATCTAAACCCGATGTCTATGAAGAAAAATTAAGAGAAATTAATTTTTATCTATTATACATTAGAGAAATCACTTACCAAATAATTCTTTTTATATAAGAAGTGAAAAATATAGTTTCAAAACTACGAGACGAGTTTTATCTTAAATGATTATTTCGAAAAGCGTTGCATTTAGATGTATATAAAGAGATGTTATGATCTGTGCTATACATGAGATCATATATAACATCTTTTTCGTTTTTTCTTTTGTTTCTCTCTCTCGTTCTCCCTTCTTCTCTATTTTCGTTGTGTGTATGCGTATATCCATAGTTGTTTATGGATATATGATCTTGTGTATAGCACAGATTATAACAAGAAAATAAGGTAAATTATTGTCAGACTTTGCCCATATTTTTATAAAAGATCTAAGATTATTTAGCCGTTAAGTTCAGAATATGTTTTTTCAGATTAAGTTCAGTTCTATTTATTACTATTTAGGTACGGCATGTTTATATTTATTTTAAATCTTTTTCTTATTTTTTATTAACATTATTCTTCATAAAAAATCACGTAGAATTTTTTAGTCATTTTTCTACTGAATTTTATGTATTTTTAGTTTTCTTTATGTTGGTGTTTATGTTTTTGTAAAGACAATTAAAATCATTTGATTCAAATAAAATTATTGAGCAGCAAATGCTGCTGGAAGAATATATTTGAAATCTTTCATTGATTGATTTATACCAGAAACCGGCGGGACGGGACAGAAAAATCCTTGTCCCGCCAGTCTTTAATCTATACTAGCAACGTTCCATCGATCAATAAAATTGCAGAAAAACGACACATGACATCTATAATATCATCTCTATTGAGGTAATGAAATAAGATAAATGAATGGAAAAGAGAATCTTGTAACATTTGCATATATTTAATCATTTCTGCAGTGTATGTTCATATTCACTACCTTTTTCTTGTTGTTCTTTTTTCTTTTGTTTAGTTAAAATAAATTATTATTTTATCTTGCATTTCTCTTCTTGATCATACATAAAGACGTGACAACTATTTTTATTATTAAAACTCAAAGAATACGAGCAAATTCAAAACTATTAAAGAAAGTAATTTAATCAACGATATGAATAAAAACAAATTCGACATACTTAATCCTCAAAATTATGAACATTGTATGGAAGAATTATCAAAAAATGAAGATTTGCTTCAATTAATGCAAAAAGGTTTTCAGTTAACTTATGATAAAACTTGTGGTCTTCAGCTAGATGAACTGCAAGAATTAATTCAATTAGAACATGAAGAAAATGCACAATTTATGTTCAAAGAAATACAGAAGTTATCTGAAGGGCAATCAACATGGTTAGCCGCAACATCAGGTGATACAATAGAACGTAATACAATTGTTGTATTTGGCAAAATCGTCGATGGTAAATATGATATTTTGACTGTTCGAGCTACGCAGATCAAAACATTCGATAAACAAAAGTTAATAGCTTGTGGTATTGGAGCTTTTTCTCTTGGTGTATGTGTTGGTGCAATTACTACGCCTTTATTTGGTATGCTTGCTGGTGGATCAATACTTGCAGCTAGTGGTGTCAAGACAATGTATGATTATCAAAAGGATTTGCCGAATTTGATCTATGGATATATTTTTCAACAGCTAACTGATAAAAATGTTATTACTGTTGAGAACGGTTGTTATAAAATTTAAATTCATACTCAATTTAAACTGAAACCGATTTTTAAGGTACTAGCTTTGTTATCGTGTATTATTTAATTGATTTATTAAAATCGTTTTCTTCAAAGCAATAAAGATCTTTTCCCCTTAGTATATTTGCATCAATAGTTTTTGTTATTGAAAATGCCAACCGGGTGTGGAAATTTGTATTCTCTACTCACATCCACATATAATTCTACTACTTTTTTTAATGAAAGTACTTGTGAAAATCTTTTCTTGTATGCATTAAAGAATCATATAGAATTTATTCTGAAATACTTATGAACTTATTACTACCAATCTGCTGCAGTGCTTGATTCCAATAGTAATAAAAATGTCTAGCACTATGGAAGATGCCGTTGAATTATGATATATCTGATAATTAAAAAAATATCGGTAAAGTGTAAAATACTTAAGTCAGAATTTTAGTTTAGTCATCAGAATTAATCATAACTGTTAATTAACGACAAATGTGGATATCATATAGAAATGAATTTAGAGATTACGATTTGTGATTAATGATAACCAACCATTTGTTCGAAGATGATTCTGACTAGTTCAGAAAATACAAAGATTAACAAAGATCTTTTCTTATTTGTTTGTGAAACAATACGAAGTACGGCATTCGTCTATGTACAAAGTGCACTATATATATTAATATTTCATTAGTTTTTCAATGAGGTCACCTAAATGATTCGTCAACGAAGCAGGCGGCTATAAACAAAGACTAATATAAAAGCCTATATATATATCATTTTGAGAAAAACATCAAAATCACAACCAAATATGACATTAGATAATAATATTTATCTTTATAATCTACCCTATGAAATAATATTTTTTATTTTGAAAAAACTCGATAATATGGATATACTTTATTCTTTATTTGGCATGAATCATCGGCTTGACAATATAATACAAGATAAAATCTTTACTACTATGCTAAATTTTGTTTCCATATCGTCATTAACTAATGATATTTCTTCAATTTCTGATCGAATGCTTGATAGATTCTGTTACAATGTATTACCAAGAATTCATTATAATGTGAAACATCTTATTCTTGAATCAACCTCTATGGGACGTATTCTTCATGCTGGCAGTTATCCTAATCTTACTGAACTTAAACTATTCAACTTCAATCAAGAAATTATCCCACGTTATTTTATAGGTAAAAAACAACATTAAGATTCAAAATATATTGAAAATTAAAATTGATATTCTTTTTTTTATTTAGATGATTCTCATCTTCAGCATATTTATAACCAAATTAATGATCTGACACTTATCAGTAATGAAAATAATACAGAAATGCATTCGAAAGACTACACTAATAATATCTATACAGTTGCCTTGAATCTATTTAAAAATCTAACACATTTAACTATTGCTGGAGCATTCAACAAAGATTATCCACCTTTTTCGCTAGATAATTTATCATTAAATATGTTTTCTTCAACACTTACTAAATTATCTATTAGAGTAAATATTTTTAATGATTGTCTTGCTTTACTTGATGGTCATCTCCAACAATTAACTACATTCATCGTTTACGTTAATTCTATTGTTTATGAATCATCACCATCGTACATGTTGGTAAGTTTATGGTTGTTAATGTAATTTTTTAATGAATCGATTTTTTTTTGTTTTTTTGCAGAATAATGATCTACCAAGTTTAAAAGTTTTCTCATTAACGTCTTATGATGATACTGACCAATATGATATGTTAGTTGTGCCACTTCTTCAGCGAATGTTAAATCTAGAAGAATTAACTTTATATCTTCGTGTCACAAGACGAACAATATTCATTGATGGCACTCATATTTATAATAAAATTCTTATTCATATGCTACAACTTCATACATTTACTTTTTATATTAGTTCTGAAAAACGAATTGAAGTTTTACCACTTCGTCTATCTAATTCAGATATTCAACGAACTTTTACAAATACACTAAATAGACAAGTGGTTTGTAGTGTACATTATTTTTCTGATTTTGATAACATATGTCATGTCTTCTCACTTCCATTTACATTTGATCATCTTGAAAAAATCTCCAATCATTTTCCGAATATGATATTTAATTCTGTAACTTACTTGACATTATATGATATTATTCCATTTCAATATAAATTTTTCGTTCAAATTGCTCAAGCTTTTCCATTACTTAACTATTTATCTATTAATAACGATGAACCACCATCATTGAACATCTACAATTCTCGATTTATTGATAAATCATGGTTAACTATTGAATATCCTTATCTTACTTCACTTGACCTTAGTTTTGCACATATTTATTATATTAATCAATTTCTCAATGAAAAAAAAACAATTCTACCAAGTCTAAGCGAATTAATAGTCGATTATGAACGATTGAAAGTTGTGACAAAGAATTTTACCAGAGAAAAAACACGACGCAATTGTGCTACGGTTAAACGATTGAGTGTGAAAGGCTCAATAAATTTAGAAAATGTTTATCGTTATTTTCCTCTATTATTAAATTACGAGTGTTGTCCTAATTATATATAAATAAAAATTTTGTGATATAATTTGTCATTTTCTTTCTTAAAAAGCTTTACAGTTTAAATAAAAGATGGCTCTATAAGTAATTAAATAATTCGTATATGTCTGAGCATCAGTAAGTGAATCATATCCAGCAGGTCGAGTTTTCATTGAATTATTACCAGTAATTGTCTTTTCAACTAAAACATGTATTCGAAGAAAAGTAAACTTTTTTGCAATCTTAATTAGTAACAACTGATTTATATTCTTGTGTTGTAGTTAATAACATAAACTAAAAGAAATATTTGAGGATGTGGGTGTGGGTGTCAGTGAGAGTATACCTGCCTTTTCATTTCTTCCGCACCTACACCCACACCCTCAAAAATCAAAACGTTTATAACTTTTGTAAATTGGGTGTATTGTATCACGAAATTTTGGATTTCGACGAATCAGAGATGCACGCCGATAAAAACAATATGTATAGTGCAACTATGACAAGCAACCTGGAAAAATTGGCGCTATTACAAGAGCAGTTAGTTAAAGTTTTTGTATCAACCATTGGGAAACAAAAAGTTATTGGTAAGCTGAATAAAATCCTGAATGCAGCTGAACTGGAAGCACAAAGGCAGCGAGCGGAGCCTGCATCAGAACTACAAACAGCAATTCAGTTAGGCTACGTGTGGTTGGAAAAAGAACACGAACTCACCCAGGAAAAACAAGTGCGAACTAAGTCAAACCAATCTTAATGGCCTTCTACAACTAAATGATATTGCTTGCTAAAATCCGCATTTATATATGAGTGAAGTGCACATCTATTGTACCGTTGTATTATTGAATATAAAAGTTCAATATCACGAATGACACTCAATCAATTGTTATGATTTTCTTCAGATTAGACTTTTCTAATAAGCCCTTACTACCATACAAAAAACTATAATTGTTACGTCGTATAACCGATTCATTTTCATGTCATTTAAATTTCGGAAGTATGTGGATGTCTTTTCCATCATCAAATTATCCTCACCCACACCCTCAATTCCTATTATAGGTGTTATTTTCACGATAAAGCTAATGCTACTATGGACTTAGAGATGTAATTAAGAATAGAAAATTTGAAGATAACAGCTATTGAATAAACACATAATGAGACTATTGTTAAAAAAATAACTCTTTACTTTTTCATTGAAATGATATTATATCTCATTTTTTTACACTATCATGAAATAAAAATTTCATCTTTAATATTTAATTAAACTATTGCTGAACGTCTACCTAGTTTACTTAGTATTGATAGAAGTTATGAATAAGAATTTAGAACTGTCGGAATTCGTAAATTTTAGTATTACGTAGTAATGTATTAACAAAATAAGAAACTGATTTTTGTTTATGTATGTAAAATACTAGATCATTTTTGAATTTTCGATTGGCTTATTGATTATATCCATTCTAAGAAACTTTATAAACCTCCTTATAGATTTTTTTCTTTATTAATTATAATACGAAAACTTCATTAATCATTATTTTATACTTTTTCATTTTAATTTCTATGAACTATTTTAATTATTTTGCTGTTGAATATAATTACATTATATTTAATAAAAGTATCAAAAAAATCGTTTTTTACTGGTAACATTATAATCCATAGTGTCAATTAGATCACAGAGACGCGCGAAAATTTTTATCCATGTTTATTTATTTGTATCCAAAATTGAAACATAATATTGTTTATTATATTTTTTTCTAATGAATACCTAGATTTAATTCTTTTCCTTTCTATCGTATTTATCGAGAAAATTCAAATAATAGAAGGAAAAACAATAACAAAAACAATAGCACATGTTATATTTTCATTTCTCTAGAAATTGATGCACGTCTTTCAGTACGTTTCATTATTCTAGATAACCTTTTTGAATTTCTCTATTTACTATTAAACCGTTGTGTGTCTCGTCTATTCTCAAAATCAGAATTATGTTACTCGGAAATATTCGAGATGATATGCATTCAAATTGTCGAACAAGTCGTAGTGTACCTCAATTAATGCCATCATTTTCAATGAACGATACAATGATTTCCCCTTCATTTTCATCATCACAAAATTTTCGAACTCCAATTACATCACAACAAACAATGATGAACTATGCTCGCATGTCATATCGTTATACAACTGTTTGTTAAAAATATTTATTTTATATAAAATAAATGTTTTATTTCTTTAAATTTTAGGTTACATTACTTTCTATGCGTCCACCACCTGAAACAACTATTTTTCCTGATCATCTTATTGAACGACGTTTTCTTGAGTAAAATTAAATATAATAATGAATTATTTTTTATTCAATTTGATTTATTAATTCTAGTGATGAAAACTATATTGATCTTGATCGAATGTTAAATGAAAAAGCTGGTAAATTTCGATTGGATTCATATGGTATACGTGATGGTGCAGGTGATGGACCAATACTACCAACTAGAATGCATAAATACGATTATTCTGATCCAGTTATTGTTGAAGTAATTTTACTTTTATAAAATTCTTTAATTCTAAATATAAAATAAATTATAGAAAGTCAAAAATCGTCGTCCAAAAGATCCTTTAACACCTCATCAAGTAGCTGCATTGACATCTGTTGTAACACGTCATCAACCATCAGCAGTGCCAACATCATTATTATCAACTCCTCATCAAAATTCATCATCACAAGTTTGGATCGATGATTATAGTCATCGTCAAGCACAAAATCAACGAAATACAAATCGATATCATCAACCATCACAACCATCAATGCCATATCAAAGACAAAATTTAAATCAATCTGAAATACATTCAAAACCTATCAGATCTCTGTTACCTAACTATCGATCTAATAATGAACAAAATCCAAATACTAATCCTATATTACAACGTTTATTTCAAGCTCAACACCATCAACAGTTAAGAATTTTATTTATTTCTATAAAAAAACTTTCATTTTTGTTCTTTACAGAAATAGAAATGAAATTGAAAATCAACAATCATCACCATATATCAATAATCTATTATCAACATCTGAACATTATCATAATGGTTTATCTGCTTTTTGTACACCAACAACACCTGAACCATCAAATTCGTATAATAACAATACATTTGCATGGCCATTTTCAACAAATCAAAATCAAAAAGTATTTTTTCTTTTTACATCCATTTGCTAAAATTCTTTTCTTAATTAGAATGTAACACATCCATTACATATACCAATGGCAACTCAAACTACTGTGAAACAGAATCAAGATGTACTCGCACAATTGGTTACTGATCAACTTCGATGTTCAACAAGTATACAAACACCATCAACACCAATTATCGATATCAATAAATCAAATAATTCTAATCGAGATAATACAAATGACGACGATGATGATTTCTATTCTGCACCACCATCACGTATGTTCATAAAAAATGAGAAAATATCGATTTATTTCTTTAAATATTATAGCCACTCAACAAAATGATTCTCTACCATCATTATTTGATACATCCAATAATCCTGAACATACACGTATATATAATCAAGCAGTATTATTAAATTCACTTATACGTAATACGGTCAATGAAAATAATATACAAAATTCTTCATCAAATGAATCTTGTTTTTCAAATGATACACAAGTATAAAGCAAATAGAAAAAAAAGACATTAATTGATTTAATTTTTTTCTTTCAATAAATAATTCTAGTCAACAAATTGGAATCAAGAACAAAATGAAAGTTATACAGAAATGAATAATCTTATTCGTCTTCTATCACCAGGTGTTAAAAGTAAATTTATTTTTTATTAAATAAAATTAAAATATATCTTTTTTTTGTATTAATAGATATTACTCAACAGGAATTACTTCAATATCTTGAACAAGGTTGTTCAAATGAACGTGAACAAATGCTTCATTTAATTGAAACACTTAATATTAATGAACAAAATTCATTAAAACCAATTTTAGTTCGATTAATTAATGAACAATTAAATATAATGAAAAATCAAAAACAAATTCAACAAGGAAATCCATTATTAATTCCACAGGAATATTCTCAAGAAACTCGTTCACCATTAGAAAGTTGGTTTGGTTCAAGTATATATACAAATGCATATCCTCGTATGCCATCAGGTAGTGTTGTATCAGCATATGATCTTGAAGAAACACGTTTAGCACAAAAAAAGTAACATGTTTTTTTATGTTTCGTTTTGTTTTTATATTTACTTTTATCGTTGTTGTTTGTTGTTATTTTTTGTTTGTTTGATTATATTTCTTTTTTTCCTCGTTTATTCCAAATTTATCTGTACAATTATTTGACAGATATTTACAAATTTGGATTTATGATGATAGAAGAAGAAGAAGAAAAAAGAAAAAAAAGATTGTTATAACTTTCTTTAGTTTGTTTTCTTCTTAGTTTTGTTTTCTTTTGTGAAAATAAAAATAACATAAACTTTAAAGATATGTTTATTTCTCTATTCGTTCTATATACTGCTAAAATACATAATGACAAATTTTTATAGAAGTACAATATCGTTCACAAGAAAAATATTTTTCATTTTATTATTTTATACGATGATAACTTAGAAATAGTATGTAATAAGAAAACAAAAAGCATGAATTTCTCTCTTTTTGATCTATCATAATATTATTTACAAAAAGAAACAAAAATGCAATTAAACTATTTTTCATCCACCAAACGATAATAAACAAGTGCACCTGGATATCCCATCCATAAAGCTAATGTACCATTATCCATTGAACAAGCATTAATGGGTTGTTCAGGTAACATTCTAACAAATTGTCGTTTTCGTTTTGCAACACCAACAACTTTATTATCAATTGGATCAAATATAAGCCATGTTTTCCATAAATAAATAAGTGTACTAATACCACGTATACCATAATTATTCCAACGAGCTAAATTTATTTGTTTTAAACCTATTAATGTTTCAGCATTATAAAGTGTCATAATAAGATTAGTTAAAACAATTGCTACACGATCATCAGATAAACCCA